CCTTTAATCCCAGCACTCAGAATCTCTGTGAGTTCAAGGCTAGCCAGGACAGGCACCAAAACTACACGGAGAAACCCTGTCTCAACAAAACAAAACAAAACAAAACCAAAAAGCGCTGGGTGGGTGCCTATTGTGTGCTGACTACCACCACTACCTACATCAGTGCAGTTCACACTCCAGGGCGTCTTCTCTGAGCCAGCCACCGTGCTAGATGTGTTTTGAGACAGGGTAGACCAGGCTGACCCAGAACTCACAGAGAGCCACCTGCCTCTGCCTCCCGAAGTGCTGGGATTAAAGGCCAGTGCTATCATGCGGGTACTCAGGGATTTTCTTTTCCCTCATTAAATTCTTCATGATCACCCCCGAGGAGCCATTACCACGGTTCCCTTTTGCACAAGTGGAGAGAAAGGATCAGAGAGCTGAAATCCTTGCCTCAAGCCACGCAGCCGGAAGCTAGAAGAGGCAGGATGTGAGAGCTTCCTGTACAGCACTCTTTGTGGGGAGGTGGAGGAGCGGCGGTTCAGTTGTTAGTTCTGCGCTGGGCTGGTGTCCGGTGCATGGAGAAGGGGTTGCACTCCCTGCTGCTCTGGCATGCTTTCTCCGACCTCTGCCTCATGTCTGTGTGATCGGCAGGGTCTCTTGGGAAGAGGGAACCTAGGGGAAGCCCCTGTCCAGCGTCTCACAGCAGCCCAGGGTGAGGTAGCTCCAGCCAGAAGCTCCGTTCCCTGGGCTTCCTTGCATGCCTCCATGACTGTCTCTGCCCCATTCAAGGTGGAAGAGACTGGCTGCTAAGGAGGCTGGAGAAACCCAGAAGCTTGTGACAGGCCAAGAAGGGGTAGATTTGTGCCCAGAAGAGGAATGGAATCAGCCTGTGACATCAGAGAGGGCTTCCTGGAGTTGGCGGCGTCTCAGCTGAAGAGAGGTGGTAGGAACAGCGTAGGTAGAGGGAACAGCAGCTGCTAGGCAGGGGAAGTACTGAGTTCCAGAAACTGAATAGTAGAAGCGGGGAGTGGAAGAGGGCCTCTGGGCCACGGAGACGGACAGGGGGTGGTCCTTCAGGGCCTTGCTGCCCGCACTAAAGAGCTTGCTTCCTGTCTGGAGGAATGAGAAAGGATCTAGAAGATTCCATCTAGTTGCAGGGCAAAGTCGAGCTCAGGAGGCTGGGTGGGAATTGGGACCTGGGAGGGAAGCTCAGCTGCCTGCTGGGAGAAGAGAGAGAGAGACCAGGGAAGTAGCGATAGAATCAGGCGGCCCTGTAAAGGGTTTAGAGGTCACACTGGTGGGGCCAACGAGATGGCTCAGTGGGCCAAAGTGCCTGCTGCACTGCCTGATGGCCTGAGTTCAATCCCCAGTCCCCACATGGTGGGAGGAGAGAACCAACTCTTGGAAGCTGTCCTCTGAACTCCTTGTAGGCCCTGTGGTCCTTACACACCATTTACACACACGAGTAATTTATTATTGTTGTTGTTTCCCTAGACAGGTCTCACAGTGTAGTTCTGGCTGGCTTGGAACTTACTCTGTAGACCAGGCTGGCCTCGAACTCCTGGAGACCTACTTGCCTCTGCCTCCCAAGTGCTGGGAACAAAGGTGTGTGCCACTATGCCCAGCTCACCAGCAATTTTTTTTTTTTAAAGCTAACACTGGTGACATGTTGCTGCACAATATGTCACCCTGAAACTTTGTGACTAAAAACAGCAACCTCGACTTTCTCATGCATGGAGGGCAGATCAGCGGAGAGGTTTCAGCAGGACGCTAGGCTAGCTGGCTCCATTCACGTGGACAGTCATCCTGTGACCTGGGCCCTTAGTTGGGACAGTTGGGCCTCAGTACACCTCCAAGTGACCTCTCCATGGGCCTGAGGCCATTCACAGCATAGCCGCTGGCTTCCAAAACCCAGAAGCAACAGGGGTCTGCACTGTGGTGCATCCTGGGAGGTGGAGCCTGGAGGAGCAAGAGTTCAAAACCACCCTGAGCTACATCGCAAGACCCTGTCTCAAGACAAAAACAGAGCAGGGGCTACAGATGTCTCAGTGGGGAAGCACTTGCCCTCCAAACATGAAGACCTGAGTTCGAACCCACAGCGACCCCATAGAAAGCTGGGCGTGGCTTGCACGCCCGTAACCCCAGCATTTGTAATAGAAACAGGCAGATCTCAAGAGCCAGCCAGACTAGTCAAAATGGAGAGCTTCTGGTTCAGGGAGAGGCCCTGTCTCAAGGCAGAGAGTACAGAAGGAGCCCAGACATCCTGCTCTGGACTCTACATGTATGTGTACATGGGCTCACACTCACATGTATTACAACATGCACACCCCCCCATACACACTCACCAAAAAATTAATAGTAAAAGCAGAAGCAACTATGATGTCTTTTCTAGTCTGGTTTCAGAACATCGTTTCTGCCAACAACAGTCCCCAAAGCAGTCTGACTCAAGGGAGGGGACAGAAACTCTCTTTGTTGTGATCATTCTGTGTATACATTGTGATATGTCCACTGAATGACATGTGGTACATTTGCAATGGTTCGGGGATTAAGCAACCACCTTCCTAGTTTCAGAACATTTTCATCATTCCATTCATCATTGCACATGAAGCAATCACTCACGGCTTCCTCTCTGTTCGGGTCCTGGCAACCACTAATCCAATTTCCGTCTCCATGGCTTTACCTATTTTGAACATTTCATAGAAAAGAAATCTTATGTGACCTTCTGTGTCTGGCTCCTCTCACTTAGCTTAGCGTCTTCAAGGTTCATCCAAGCCATAGGAGGTATTTTTTTTTAATGAATAAAGTTTCACTGTATGTCTGCACACTACAATATCATTTTTCCTTTTTTCTTTCTCCTGCTTTTTTGAGAAAAGGTCTCTCTATTATGTAGCCCTGGCTGTCCTGGAACTTGTTATGTAGACTAGGCTAGCCTCAAATTCCCAGAGACCAGCTTGGTGTAGTGGCACACACCTTTGATCCCAGTACTTGGGGAGACAGAAGCAGGCAGATCTCTGTGAGTTCAAGGCCAGCATGGTCTACAGAGCGAGTTCCAGGACAGCCAGAGCTACATAGTGAGACTTGGTCTCAGAAAACACAACACCAAAAAAACCACCTAGAGATCCACCTGCCTATGCCTCCTGAGTACTGGGATTAAAGGTGTATGCTTTAATCCACTACAATTTAATCACTAGAATTTATCCATCCACTTGTAAAGGGCTGTTGTGGATATCCCTATGAACATTGGTGAACAAGTGCCTGAGTCCATTTCAATTCTTTTAGGGATGGAATTATTGTTTTATAGTAATTCTATGTTTAACTTTTTGAGGCTACGCCAAACTTTCCCAGTTTATTTGATGCCGTGAGGAGGTGGCTCTTAGGAGAATAAGATGAGCTCGATCCTTCTTGAGTGGGATAAGTACCCTTAAGAAAAGATCTCAGTGGAGCCAGGTGTGGTGGCACATACCTTCAATCCCAGCACTTGGAAGGCAGAGGCAGGTGGATCTCTGTGGATGGAAGTCCAGCCTGGTCTGCAGAGTGAGTTCCAGGATAGCCAGAGCTATCTAGTGAGGCCCTGCCTCAAACAAACAAAAAGACCTCCGTGGGGCTGGAGAGACGGCTCCGTGCTTGATCAAGACCTTTTGCTGCTGCTGCAGAGGACCCAGGTTCAGTTCCCATGTGGCAGCTCACCATCATCTGTAACCCCAACTCCAGAGACTCTGACACCCTCTTCCAGCCTCCACAGGCATCAGGCACATACGTGATGCACAGACATGTGCGCAAAACACCCGTATACATAAAATAAAATTTACAAAAGGAGACACTTCTGGCCTGGTGAGGCGGCTCAAGAGGGTACAGGTGCTTGTTATGCAAACCTGGCATCCTGAGTTTGATCCCTGGAACCCATGTAAAGAAAAGGAGTCCCTGTGTTGGCTAGTCTTTTCTCAGCACAAGCTGTAGTCATCTGGGAAGAGGGAACCTCAATTGAGAAAGTGTCCCCATCCGATTGGCCGGTAGGCAAGCTTGTAGGGCGTTTTCTTAACTAGTGATTGATGGGGGAGGGCCCAGCCTGCTACAGGTGGTGCCATCCCTGGGCTGGAGATCCTGGGTTCTACAAGAAAGCAGGCTGAGCAAGCCATGAGGAGCAAGCCAGAAAGCAGCACCCCTCCATGGCCTCTGCATCAGCTCCTGCCTCTGGGTTCCTGCCTTCCATTCCTGCTCTGACCTCCCTGTATCATGGTCTCTAAACTGGAAGATGAGTCAACCCCTTTTTCCCCCAGATTGCTTTGGGTCAGGGTGCTTTATCACAGCAGTAGACACCCTGACTAAAGCAGGACACCTGAGCGCTCTCCTGCCGTCTCCCTACTGTGAGGACGGTGGTTTGTCTCAGGAGCTGGCCCTCGCCAGAAATGGGCTGAGCCGACTGAGACTTTCGCCTGAGACTTCTGGCTTCCGGAACTTGCAACGGTCTAGAGGCCATGCCACCCAGTCCATGGTGCCTTATTACAGCTGTTCTAATTGGTTCAGATGACAGAAGCCGGCCGGGCAGTGGTGGCGCACGCCTTTAATCCCTTCCAGCACTCGGAAGGCAGAGGCAGGCGGATCTCTGTGAGTTGGAGGCCAGCCTGGTCTACAGAGAGAGATCCAGGACAGCCAGGGCTACACAGAGAAACCCTGTCTCCAAAAACCAAACAACAAAAATGACAGAAGTCTCCATTTTTTCACCTCCTTGCCAACACTTATCTCCCACCCTCTCTCCACCTTTAGGAGGGTCTTGAGATTAACTGATGAGCGATAACATTGAATTATCTTTCTTAATTTATCTTTATTTTACGTTCATTGGTGTTTTGTCTACATGTATGTCTGTGTGGGGTGGGTATCAGAAGCCCTGGAACGGGAGTTACGGACATGTGTGACCTGCCATGTGAGTGCTGGGAATTGAACCCGGGTCCTCCAGAAAAGCAGCCAGTGCTCCTACTGCTGAGCCATCTTTCCAGCCCCGAACTCCCCCCCCCCCGCCCCGCCCCCCAACAGGATTTCCCTATATAGCTTTGTGCCTTTCCTGGAACCCTGTAGCCCAGGCTGGCCTCGAACTCACAGAGCTCTGCCTGGCTCTGCCTCCCGAGTGCTGGGATTAAAGGTGTGCACCACCACTGCCCGGCTCCCATCTTTAATTTTTAAAAAGAGAGTTAGGACCGAGTGTGGTGGCGCGTGCCCTTAATCCCAGCACTTGGGAAGCAGAGGCAGGCGGATCTCCTCAGCCTTCCAAGGACTGGAATTAGAGGAGGTGTGGGCTGCTATGCCAAGATAGGCATACACATTTTCATTTTTTTTTTTTTTTTCTGAGGGTCTCACTTTGTAGGGCTGGCTAGCTGGCTTGGCTGGCCTGGGATTTACTATATAGACCAGACTGGCTTCAGACTCTCGGAGATCCACTTTTGTCCTGCCTCCTGAGTGCTGGGAGACATCTTTTCTGAGCTGAAGCTGTGGCCGCTAGGGAAGCCCGAGGAAGGAGGAAGAGACAGGTGAGCAGAAGAACTCGATCCCAGACACAGTGTTGAGTCTGAGGACTCAAGAGAGCTCTGTGGATGAAATAAATGATAAATGCTGTATGCAAAGGTCCTGGGACCTGCTCAACAAATATTTATGGAACATTTCATACTAATGCTAGCTAACATTATGTGGTATTAGCCAAGGGCCAGGGGCTTTGCCTGCTGGAAAAAAAAAATTGAGCCATAAAATATATATATATATATATATATATATATATATATATATATATATATATATAGAAAGACACACAGCTTGTCACATCTTACATACCAGATAAGCTCTAGAACATTCTCAGCCCCCAGAATGTGCCTTCTCACATATGCTCTGTTTGATTTCCACAACAACGCTATAGGGTAAGAATTAGTTTTCCTAATACTGACAGAAGGGTAGCCACATGGCAGATGGCACAGGGTCCGTCTAAAGCATGACGGAGCCCTTGCTAGTCCCCCTGACAGCCGCCCCCTGCCCCGCCCGAAGGCCAGCCTTGGGATGCTGCACCCCCTCACCCCCTCACTGGGCTATGACTGGATTCTGGCCTCTGCACCCGCCAGGGCGGAAGCAAGGTGTTCTCTGTGTTCCTATGTCTAGGTGAGGGAGCGTAGAGCCACCTGCCACTCTGTCAGGCTCCAAGGCCCTCCCCCGGGGAGCGCTGTGGGCAGAGGCTAAACAGGGGGTGGGTGACCAGCAAAGGCTGTTTCTTCACGCAGCAGGGCAGAGGATCAGCTTGTCCTGAGCCTAATTGGCCTGACTCTGGAGAAAAGGGCCCTTGCTCCTGTCACAAAACATTTTAGGCCACACTTCTGAGCGTTCCTCAGAACGCAGCAAGGAAGGTCCAGAATGTCCTGGAGGAGGGATGGGGTGCCATGTCACCCCCATGTGTCTGGACTAGCACCCTTGTGACCGCGCCTGTCCTCCACTACAGCCAACGCTAGTCTCCTTGCATTCCAGCCTCAGGGCCTTTGCACTCAGTGTCCTCACCATCTGGACCCTTCTGCCCCCTGGACTTGCCTTGTCTTACTGCATTTTAGCTCAAATGTCAACCTCTTCACAGGACTTCTCTCTGGACAAATTGCCCTACTTAATGCTGCCCCCCCACCGGGCAGCACATGGAGCCAGATGGCCTGGGTATAAATGTCAGCTCGACCTCTGAATGGCTGTGTGGCATGAGGAAATTGACTTCACCTCTCTCTGCTGTCATATTCCCTCGGGTGTAAAATAAGGGTGGCGATATTACCTTGACTCACACAGGGCTGTCCTAAGGACTTACGTGGTTTAACATCTGTGAGCAATGCCTGGCCCACGGGACTCGCTTTACAAAGATTTGGCCTTTTTTCTTTTTGAGCAGAGCGTTGTGGCGTAAGGACTGGGTTCCCAACACTTAAGAGGCAGAAGCAGAAGGGTCGGGAGTTGAAGGTCATTCCCAAGAAGACAGTGAGTTTGAAGCTTGCCTGGTCTACGTGAGACCCCGTCTCCACGACGACGTTAGGGTTTGCTCACATAGCATTTTTTTTTCCCATCCTGAAATTATTCTGGCTGTTGAGTCGTTATGACTTGGTTCTCGGGTTTCCTCCAGTAAGAATCCTATGAGGACAAGACACCTTGTGAATGATGTGACACACACACACACACACACCCCCACTATACGGGATAGTGCCTGGCGCCCAGGAGGGAGGCAGGCTGTAGCTGTCTGCTCACAGCCTCTCCCGTGGACAGCACCTGCTCCCGGCCCCTCTACTTGGAACTATGCCCCAGGGAAGAGGGAGGAGGAAGGGGAACTGCCTGCTGGTGTTGGGCTCCACCTTTACCCCTCTCCACTGTCTATCCCCCAATATCCGTAAAGCCAGGGAACAAAAATCTAGACTCCCCAGGAGTAGAATCTCCCACTACTGCCCCTTGCTCAGCAGCTAGAGAAACAGTGTGGAGGAAGAATTATCTCAGGTCACTGTCTCACAAAGGAACACACGAAGTGAGAGCACTTAGTTCAGCAAGAGGATTCCTTTTTTTTTGTAAACATGGTGTACCACACCCCAAATGGGCTAGCAAGCCCACGTGGCCAAGCCGACCTCTGTCTTTCATGCTTATTACATGTGGTGACTGTGTCTCGTCCCATCGTGATCTGATTCAACCGGCTAATTGGCACAAAGGGCAAGGGGGAGATTCAGAACATATGGGTGGGCCCGTTTGAAAGAAAAAAAAAACTACCTTTGAAAGAAAAAAAAACCTCTCCCACTGAGGCTCAGAGAAGGGCTTTGACCAGTGCCCTAGAGTGAGTCCAAAGCAACGCGTCCTCACTGAACCCCGAATGTCTCACTCCAATGTCCTTATTGGATCTGCCTCCTGCAAGGCCTGGAGAGAGGTGGTGGGGGAGGGGCTGGAAACTGCTTGCAGGTGGTGAGGGGCCAGGGCAGCTAGACCGTATCAAAATCTAAATTTCTTTTAAACGTGTATTTATTTTTCTTTATGTGAACTTATATGTGCCTACCTGAGTTTATGTGCACCATATGTGTGCAGGTGCCACAGAGGCCAGCAGAGGGCACTGTATCTCCTAGAAGTGGAGACAGAGACAGTTAAGAGCTCTTTTTATTTTTATTTTTTGGTTTTTTCGAGACAGGTGTAGCTTTGGAGCCTGTCCTGGATATCACTTTGTAGACCAGGCTGGACTCAAACTCACAAAGATTCACCTGGCTCTGCCTCCCGAGTGCTGGGATTAAAGACGTGCGTCACCACTGCCCAGCTTTATTTAATTAATTTACTTATTTGGTTTTTTGAGACAGGGTTCCTCTGTGTAGCTTTGGTACATTTCCTGGAACTCACTCTGTATACCAGGCTGGCCTCGAACTCACAGAGATCCCCCGGCCTCTACTTCCCGCGTGCTGGGATTAAAGGCCTGGACCACCACCATTGGGCTGGTTGTGAGCTCTTACTGTGGGTGCTGGGAACCAAATCTGGGTCCTTTACAAGAGCAGTGAGTGCCCTTAACCACTGAGCCATCTCCCCAGCCACCTCCCATTCTAACTGGGGGTTGCTGCTCACCACAGCGTGCACGAGGGACCCAGAGAACAACTTTTGGTTCTCTTCTCCCTTCCACTACAGGTTCTGGGGATCAAACTCAGGCTGTGCAGCAAGCACCCCTACCTGTTGAGCCGTCTAACTGGAAACTCGGGGCTTCCACTTCTATGTCATGCAGCTGGCCTTGGGCTCTGCACGCCTTTGCCCATTCCCCTGATGGGGGAGAGACCAAAGAGCTACTGGGCAACAGCTCTTTATTATGGATCATAATAAAAATCCCCCAACACTGACTTCTTGTTCTCAACTACTCTGTGGGACAAATAATGACTTGAATCCCCTTTTCCAGGTGAGAAAACAGAGGCTCGGAGTGAGGGATCCACAGTCCGAGGCGCACACCTCCAGTCTCTGGGTTTAAATCTCTTGAGTTCAGGACCAGCCGGGTTTACAGAGCGAGTTCCAGGATAGCCAGGGCTACACGGAGAAACCCTGTCTCAGAAAACCAAAGCGGGGGTGAGGGAGACGAGAATTCAAATCTCAACAGCCCCACTTCAGAGCCCACAGGCTTAGCCACTGGGGCCCATCTGACTGAGGCCCGAGGAAGATCTTCTAGTTAGGTTGGCACAGTTTTCTGGGACAACAACCCCTTGTGTTTGTGTGTGTGTGTGGGGGGGGGGGATACATCTTCACTAATTGTCCTCCGCTTCCAATGCTCCCGGCAGCCTCTCCGCTGGATTTTTGGATTATTCCCACCTCGATTCGTTCCAGCCTCTCCCGCAGAAGCGGTGAGTTATTTGGGGGACGTGATGGCTCCCTCTGGCTGCTGCCCATGACCCCCCTGCCCAGCTGCAAACACCTCTCCCTTACAGTGCACGCCTCATTAGGCTGCTCGGCTGCTTTCTGCCCCCCTGCGGCTGTCAGTTCCCAGCCCGAGCACCTGCCCTCCTGCCCCGCTCCCCTCCCCTCCCTAACCCAGCTTCCCTTAGTGAGATGGAAGACGGTCAACTCTTCCCTGATCCCCGGGCCCCCGGCTCTGCCCCAGAGCGACGACCTGACCTCCAATTTCAGAATTCTTCCCAAACAGAGCAAAACCTCCCCGCACCATTTGGTGAACCAATCTTTTAGGCTGTCATCCACACTCCCTTGTTCCAGCAAGAACTCGGTCTTCAATGTCACTCAGCGCCCCGCCCGCCCCGCCCCCTCCGGTGTGTGTGTGTGTGGCGGGGGGGGGGGGGGGGGGGGAGTTGTTAAAAACTCCCAAGGATGAATTTTAGGTTATGAATATCTTACCACAATTTATAAAAGTGCGGGTGCAAGGAGGCCTCCCCCCACCCCCTGCCGCCACCGCCACCGTCTTAGGTCACAGTGCGTGGGGCTGACGTCATAGGGACCGGGCGTGGGCTCTGCGGTAGCTGTCTTTTCGCTCTGCTCCTGGCTTGCCCATCTTCTTCCAGCTCCGAGTTCTGCCAGGGCCGCCTGCAGGCCTCGCTTGCTTTTCAAAAATAACTCTTGAGTCTCTCACCGAGGGAGGCCGGGGGCTGCTTCCTGGGTGTCCCGGGGCTGCGTGAATCCCCAGAACTTCACCAGCTTTGCCCCTGGGCCCGGCTGGTGAACATCGGTGTCTGCCAGGAGTAGATCTGGGCTTGAACTACTGTAGCCACGGTTAAGCGTCAAGGAGGAGGGACAGGCGAGCATCCTCGGTGCCAGCGGGTCGTGCTTTCACGCTAGTAGTGCCCGGGGACCCGCAGAGCACCGGAACTTGCCCTTGGCGTCCAGTTTGCTGTTTCCTCCTTGTTCCTCTTAAATCATCTACTTCCTTGTCCAAAGTAGGGGATTTTTTTTTTCCATTTTATCTTCTTCCACTCCCTCTCCAAAGTCTTTTTTTTTTTTTCTCCCCCCTCTGAGACAAGGTCTCATTAGGTAACCCTGGCTGACCCAGAATTCATTATGTAGACCAGGCTGGCCTCAAACTCACACAGAGATTCCCCTGCCTCTGCTTCCTGAGTGCTGTGCCATCAGGGTCTTGTGTAGCCCAGGCTGACGTCAAACTTGTTACATAGATGGGAATGACGTTCTTGAAGTCTGTCTTCTCTCTTCAAGATTTATTACCCTGTCGGCGATGGCGCACGCAAGCCTATAATCCCAGCACCAGGTCCCTGAGGACACATGCACACAGCCCTGGGGAAAGCCACCAGCCTCCAGGGCAGCCAGTATCACCCAGCCCAGTGGCTCCTGCTTTCAGACTCGAAGAAACCTTGCAAGTTGCCAGGCAGTGGTGGCACACACCTTTAACCCCAGCACTCAGGAGGCAGAAGCAGGTGGGTCTCTGCAAGTTCAAGGCCAGCCTAGTCTACAGAGAGAGTTCCAAGACTACACAGAGAAACCCTGTCTCCAAAAACAAACAAACAAAAAACATTTATTTATTGTGTGGCCAGCCCCTATATGTTTTGAGACAAGGTCTTTCTCACTATGCAGCTGTGGCTGGCCTGGAACTCACAGAGATCTCCTTGCTTCTGTGTGTGTGTGTGTGTGTGTGTGTGTGTGTGTGTGTGTGTGTGTGTGTACGTGACACAGTGCTCACGTGCAGGTCTGAGGTCAGGAGTGAGTTCTCTCCTCCCACCATGTATGTCCCAGGCATTACACTCTAGTCATCAGGCTTGGGGCCAAGCGTCTTTATCCACCGAGCCATCCTGCTAGTCTCAGGGTGCACGTCTGTATGCTGTGTGCCTCTGGGAGGCCAGAGGCAAAGGACCCCCCCCCCTGGAGTTACAGGTGGCTGTGAGTCAGCTGACATGGGGTGCTGAACTCAGGTCCCTTAGAAGAAGAGCAGGGCATGTTCTTAGCAGTTAAGAGCTGAGCCACCCCTCCAGCCCTGATTTATTTATTTTGAAGCAAGAGTTCACTATATAGCTCTGGCTGGCCTGGAACTCTCCAAGCTCCACCTGCTTCTCCCACCTGAGTGCTGAGCGCAGGTGTGTGTGTGCCAGCACACCTGGAGAAAGTGGATTTAGCCAGGCACACTGGCAGCCGACAGAAACCACGTGGTCAGTGCTCACGGTGAATGTTAGCTTATGTCATGACGCGGCTGCAGAACAGATTCCCCGCAAATGTGATGATGTCTAACAGCAGTGTCTACTTACTGATTTAGGAGACACGGTCTCGCTATACTGCCCTGCCTAGCCTTGATCTCCTCAGCACAATGGATCCTCCTGCCTCAGCCTCTCTAGCCGTTGAGACTAACTTTGGTACTGTTAGTAACCTGGCCTGAGCAAGAACATTTATTACCTTGCATGGTTTCTATTTATCATGTGACCAACCTTTATCTATCTATCTATCTATCTATCTATCTATCTATCTATCTATTTATTTATTATTTTTGAAATAGGATTTCTCTGTGTAGTCCTGGCTGTCCTAGAACTAGCTCTGTAGATCAGGCTGGCCTCGAACTCAGAGATCCCCCTGCCTCTGCCTCTTGAGTCCTGGGGTTAAAGGCATGTCCCACCACTGCCTGGCACCTTGCAAGGTTCCTTTGAGTCTGAAAGCAGGAGCCACTGGACTGGGTGATACTGGCTGCCCTGGAGTCTGATGGCTTTCCCCAGGGCTGTGCATGAGTCCTCAGGGACCTGGTGTTGGTTTCTACAGAAAAATCCAAGAGCAAGATCTTGGCGTGTCTAGTGGGTTTATCTAAAAACCTACAGACTGTCATCTCCACAATGCCCTACTCATTATACAGGTGAGCCCTACTCAGGTTGTGACCCTGGAGTATGAAAGCCAAGAGGCAGGACCCACCCTAGACCTACTTTGAAAAACTGAAGACCCAGGTACAATCGTCTACCTGTGGTCCCTGCTAGTCGAGAGGCTGAAACAGGATTGTTTGAGACCTGGAGTTTGGACCAACCTGAGCAGTACAGTGAGACACTGTTTCAAAAGCAGGGGCCAGGCATGGTAGTGGATGCTTTTAATCTCAGCACTTGGGAGGCAGAGGCAGGCAGATCTCAATAAGTTCCAGGGCAGCCTTGTCTACATAGCAAGTTCCAGGCCAGCCAAGGCTACATAGTAAGACCTTCTTTTAAGCTAAATCAATAAATAAACAAATAAATAAATAAGCAAATAAGCCGGATGTGGAAGTGTACTCTTATAATCCCAGCACTCAGTAGGTATTGGCAGAAAGGACCAGTGGTTCAAGACCATCCTCATCAATGTTCAATTAAGACAGTGTTTTACAAACTGGTGTGGTGGCGCAGGCCTTTGATCTCAGCACTTGAGAGGCAGAGGTAGGCATTCTCTGAGTTCAAGGACAGCCTGATCTAGAGTGAGTTCTAGACAAGTTTTGCAGATATGACCCCTGGCCCATCTGATCTTCATTTGAGGTTCCCTCTTTCCTGGTGACTCTAGGTAGTGTCAAGGTGACAATAAAAACTAACCAGAGGGGTCGGGAGGTGGCTCAGGGGTTAGCACATTTGTCAGTCTCGCAGAGGACCCAGGTTCAGTTCCCAGCACCCACGTGGTGGCGCACAAACCACCTGTAACTCCAGTTCCAAGGGAGCTGACAACCTGTGCCGACTTTCTGGGCTCCTGCATGCACGTGGTGCACACATATACACACTCAGGTGCACACGCAGACAATTCAAATTATTTTTTTTTCTAAAGAATAAAGCTGTGAAGTTCATGGGTCAGCCTTTTGTATGCATACACATTTCATTTCTCTCAGGTAAATGGCTAGGAGTAGAATTACGGGACCACAGATAGGTGCGTGTTTACCTTTATAAGGGACTGTCAGTCTCCCCCAGCATTACTGTTTTATACTCCATGTTTCCACCAATACTGTGTGTTTAGACGTTTTGCTCATCTGAGAAATTCAATCTAACCTGTGTGCAGTGGTGTCGTATTTTGCTTTTAACTTGTACTTCCCTGCCAGCTGATCACCAGTTTGGAGATCTTTTCTTGTGCTTACTGGCCATTTTCATGTCTTCCTTTGTGAAAGCATTTGTTCAGTCATTTTTGCCTACTTAAAAAAGAAAAAGATGGGCCGGGCAGTGGTGGCACACGCCTTTAATCCCAGCACTCAGGAGGCAGAGGCAGGCAGATCTCTATGAGTTCGAGGCCAGCCTGGTCTCCAAAGCGAGTTCCAGGAAAGGCGCAAAGCTACACAGAGAAACCCTGTCTCAAAAAAAAAAAAAAAAAGAAAAGAAAAAGATGGATGGGGCTCAGTGGTTAAGAACACTGGCTGCTTTTTTAGAGAACCAGGTTCAATTCCCAGCACCCACATGGTGGTGCACAGCCACCTGTAACTCCAGTTTCAGGGGATGTGACGTCCTCTTCTAGCCTCCTGAGATACCTGGCATGTGTGTGGTGCACACGCATACGTACACACAGGCAAACACTCACATTAATAAAATAAAAATGTATTATAGTGTGTGTGCGCACACCACAGTGTAGGGGGATTGGGAGGAGAAGAGAACAATTCTGTGAGTCAGTCCTCTCCACCTTACATGGTTCGAGGAGCTGAACTCGGGGTGCCAGGCTTGTGTGGCGAGCACCTTTACCCTCGGAGCTTTCTTGCAGACACTGCCTTCAATGGGTTTGCTCTCCTGGTCTCGGTGCCAAGGGCTCTTGGTTGTTGTTGCTGTGGTTTTTGAGACAGGGTTTCTCTGTGTGGCCCTGGCTGTCCTGGAACTCACTCTGTAGCCCAGGCTGGCCTCGAACTCACAGAGATCCGCCTGCCTCTGCCTCCTGAGGGCTGAGATTAAAGGCGTGCGCCACCAAGTACTCAGGGTTCTTAATTCCAAGTACAAATTCTTTGTCAGGTATGTATATTCATATATAGCTATATATCATGAATACTTACTATTGATCTTTATTTTTTTTAATATTTTTATTTATTTATTTATTTTTATTTTTTTGGTTTTTCGAGACAGGGTTTCTCTGTGTAGCTTTGCACCTTTCCTGGAACTCGCTTTGTAGACCAGGCTGGCCTCGAACTCACAGATAGCCGCCTGCCTCTGCCTCCTGAGTGCTGGGTACTTTTTAAATGATATGTATGTGTGTGCGTGTACCTGTGTTTGTGTGTGTGCACATGGATGCAAGTGCCCGTAGAGCCCAGCGATGTCAGGTCCCCTGGGACTGGAGTTATAGGCAGTTGTGAGCCACCTGGTGTGGGTCCTGGGACCTGAACTCAGGTCCCCTGCAGGAGCAGCATGTGCTCTTAACTGCTGAACTGTCTCTCCAGACACTAATTTTTTTCCCCCCTTGAGACAAGGTCTCACTGTACGGAAGGACTGGTTTTGGATATCGGATCCTTCTGCCTCAGCCCCCAAGCGCTGGGGTTACAGGCAGGTGTCACCACACCTGGTAAAAATATAGTGTTTTTGAGGTTCATCTACGTTGTAGCTAGCATACCTCAGCATTTGATTCCTTTTCATAGCTGAGTACTATTCAATCACTTGTATGGATATACCATAATTTATTTACCCATTTGTCAGCCGGTCCAATTTGTTCGTAGTATCTTGTGATTTTATTTTATTTTATTTTATTTATTTTGTTTTTTTGAGAAAGGGTTTCTCTGTATAGTTTTGGTGCCTGTCCTGGATCTCGCTCTGTAGACCAGGCTGGCCTTGAACTCACAGAGGTCAGCCTGGCATGCGCCACTGCCGTGATTTTAATTTGTATTTCATCATCTAGATGTTTGAGCCTCTTTGCATATGACTATTGGTTATTTATTTGCAAATCTTTTGTGAAATTTTACTCAATTTGCTTTTATTAAAATATTTCATCGATTCTTTGACAACTTCATAAGACATACATAATGTGTCTTGATTATATCCACTTCCTACTGCCCATTCCCCCACCCACCCACCCACCCCCACTCCTTCAGACCCCGCAAAACATCTGCTTCCCGGTTTGATGACTGAGTCCAATTTATTCGCACCCCCGACCATCCTGTTTTGTGCCGGTGATGGAGCCAGGACCTTGCAAAATAAACCTGTCATTCTGTGCTGTCCCTGACCCCCAGATACAGCGGTAAGCATTATTCTATGTGGGGTCCCTGACCCCCAGATACAGCGGTAAGCATTATCCTGTGTGGGTTCCTTATGTGCCAAGTGCGCATTCGGCTCTGCGCAAAGGAAGAAGAGGCCTCGTGTATCCATGAAAACAAGTGCAGCGCTGTCCACTTCCAGATTTCCTGCTCAGGCTAAGGTCCCGGGAGGAAGGACCCTGCTCATTGTCTCCAGAACCCCCGTGCGAGTTGGTCCCAGTGTGGATGCTGTCAGCTGAATAGAGGCGGCTTAACGTGGGGGGGCCTCCTGGAGGAAGCCGCTTCCGTGTGGAGCGGTTCCATCCTTAAGGACAGCCCTGGTTTGCCCTCTCAAGTGTCATAAGCATGTTGACACGCACTGTCGCTCCTCAACACCCAAATAGGCAGGGGGTGACGAGTTGGGACTTGAACCCGGGCCCACCTTCCACTCCTGGCTCCAGATCAGGGCTCAGGGCTTTCACTCCATCCGCTCGCTCTCTCTTCTTTGAGGACATCTGTATGGGACAGAGTGACAGGAGGACCGAGAAGGTGGCCAAGCCTGGACTTGGGATCGCTAGATACCACAAAGAGGACGCTCCTCCGGCCCGCACGGGACGGACCCCGCGAGCCCCCCCCGGGCTCCCAGCCCCTGCCCCTCCTCCCCCTCCTCCCCCTCCTCCTCCTCCTTCCCCCCGCAGCCCCCGGAGTCGGGGCTGAGCCGGAATCTGTGGGGAAAGGAGCGGGATTTCAGCTAAATATACACCAGGCTGTTCTGGAATCCAAATAGAACAAAGGAGCAGGGTGTTAAGTTGATTTTTATAAATAAAGAGAGAGGGAGTGAGAGAATATTTTTTCGAGATGTTTAATAAAATCGCCTTGTGAAGAGGCAGGAAAATCACTGGGCTGCGGTGGGAGGGTGGGGAGGAGGGCGGGAGGGAGGGGAGAGGGGGGTGGAGGGTGGGGAGGGATGAGGCTTCCTGGCTGCCGGGATCCATCCCTTTCCTGCCTGCCGCCAGGGAGGGATGGTGGTGAGGAGAGGGGCAGAGAGGTAAGGGGGAGCGCAGGAGGGTCCCCGGCGGCAGGAGGAGGAGGGGAGGAGGGGCTTCGCAGGCCCAACAGCTACTGTGCGCTGCGCGCCTGCTGGCTGCCGAGTCCTGCGCTAGCTCTCCGCCTGGCCCCCTGCTCCAAACGCTGTGAGGCTCTTGGCATCTGGAGCTGTGGATCTGCACCGGCCACCCTCTGACTTCACCTCTCCCCTCTCTCCCTCGCTCTCTGCCCCCAGCTCTACACACCAAACGCATTCTTCCCCCGAGGCTTGCACCCCACAGCCGGCCATTATCACCCATTACTCAAAATAAAAGGCACTTTTTGTTTATTTTTTTTTTTATTTGATTTGATTTGACTTTTCGAGACAGGGTTTCTCTGTGTAGCTTTGCGCCTTTCCTGGATCTCCCTCTGTAGCCCAGGCTGGCCTCGAACTCACAGAGATCCTCCTGCCTCTGCTTCCCCAGTGCTGGGACTAAAGGCGTGCGCCACCACCGCCCGGCTGTTAGTTGTTACACAAGGTCTCTCTAGGTAGCTCTGGCTGTCCTAGAACTCACCATGTAGACCAGGCTGGTCTCAGACTCACAGGGGATCCACCCACTTCTGCCTCTACAGGCTGGGATTGAAGGTGTGCACCCGCCACACCCCGGCTCAAATGTCACTTTCATCCTGGTGGCTATATTAAAAAAGAAGCCCTTCTCTCCTCCTGCAGTGGGGACCACAGTCCCTTCTTCCACTGTCTTCATTAACACAGCCCTTCTGAGACTATTTGCTTGCTTATTATGTCTTTGTGAGTCTCCTCACCAAAATAAAAGTTCCCAAAGACAGAGGCTGTGGTGACCTACTGCATGGTGCCAGGGCCTGCGGCACCAGATAGGGATTACTTAAAATGTACTTGTACAACGTTCAGAGAGGTGGAGGTACTTGCCCAAGGTCACACAGCCAGGAAATGACAGAGCCAGGTGAGAGCCCAGATTCCTCTGACACCCCAAAGGCATACCTTTCTACTCTGCAGGCCTCTAATATGGTGGAGGGATTTTTTTTTTTTTTTTTTTTTTTTGAGACTGGGTTTCTCTGTGTTGTTTTGGTGCCTGTCCTGGCTCTCGCTCTGCAGGCCAGGCTGTCCTCAAACTCACAGAGATCCACCTGGCTCTGCCTCCAGAGTGCTGGGATTAAAGGCGTGCTCCACCACCGCCCAGCTGGTGGAGGAAATTTAAGGCAATCAGTTAGAAACGTGGGGAATAGAATGGGCAATGTCCAGACAGAACCCTGGAGTAGCAAAGGATAGTGGGATCAGTGAAGCCAAATTCTTACCAAAACATTTCCCCTTAAATAATGGGCCAGGCTTGGTGGTGTACACCTTTAATCCCAGCACTCAGGAGGCAGAGGCAGGAGGATCTCTGTGAGTTGGAGCCCAGTCTGGTCTACAGAGGGATTCCCAAGACAGAGCTGCATAGAGAGACCCTGTCTCAAAAAAAAAAACTAAAAAAAGAAAAAAAAAAAAAAGGGAAACACACACACATACACACACACACACACACACACACACACACACACACACACAC